TCCAACTATAGGCCCCTAACCATTTTCATTTCCGATTATTTTACCCCGTTCTAGTCGCCCGTGTGGCGCAGTGGTTAGAACGTCTGCTCTAGAGTCGTGGAGTAAGGAGTTGATCCTCAAGTCGCGGGTTCGAATCCACTGCGGGACGTGAAGACCAGTTCATTGGATAAGACTGTATAAACCGAGGTCCCGTGTTGCAGTAGTTGTTGACACGAAAAAAGATCCCTCACTGCTTAATTGCCCTAAGTGTCGATCAATTGTTAAAATCTGCAGCCCACCATCGGCAGTGGTGGCGTCTCCATATGAGTGTAAAATTCTCGAGAAGGACGTTAAACAACAAACAAACCCCGATCTATACTAAACGTTTAAAATAATATATTCATAATGTACTTACCGCCTGTTATAGGTACTGTTAACTTGATAGAATAATAAATCCATTTAAAATACACACCAAATATTAATAATCCCAGTGGTAATAATGATGTACATACACCATGTGCAAAACAATAATGATAACGGTAAAAGTAGTGCTTGCAGTGTGACGTAATTCCACGCACGAGTCTAGAAATTTTCCAAAAAGGTGTACATTTGTAAAATTTTATTATAATTACATACAATTTTTTTTTCAGAAGTTTGTGTTATCTATTATATAAATATGACAGGAAAACGGGTGAATCGTGGGTGGGTGGGTGTTGATTTTTGACAAAATTGATTGGGTCAAGATTTGGAAAGGGGTTCTCCGAGTCCTACCCAAATACACGGTACTGATAAAAATTTGCACAAGTTGTCATTTTGGCATCTAATTTTTTTTAAGTTCATCAAAAAAGCTATGCACTAAAATAATAATATTTGTTGTTTTGACAATAAATTCATCAAGTTCCAATTATGGATAGAAAATTAACCATCCCCCCTTTTTTTACACAAATCTTTCAAATATTCTATCTTTATCAGAATTTACATTATTAAGGAATATCAGACTGGTAATGAAATATTTACATGCGCGGATCTAGAGGAGGGAGGGGGTACGTAACCTATACACGAAATCTATATACGAAAGCAACTAAAACTTAAATTGACCCTGGACCCCCCCCCCCCCCACTTGGAAAACACGGACCCCTGTTAAGTTGGAATGAAAAGTTATACATATGAAGCTTAAAAACTGAGCGGCCAAACCCCCCTCTCTCTCTCCCCCCCCCCCACCACCACCACGAAATAGGTTTTCACATTTGGGAAAGGAGTTAAAGTGTTTTTTTTTTTGTTTTTTGTTTTTGTTTTTGTTTTTTTTTTTTGCTTGTCAAGAAATTTCATATGCCAAGGGCTTATGAGGAGAGTAGCGTATCAGAAACCTTTGGCTAGCGAAGATGCTTTCACAACTGTAAAGGAATTATGTAATAGCTAAAAGGTTTGGAACTACAGAGTAGTGGGGGCATAATTTGCAGTGTAAAACACATGGAGGAATCCGTGAATTCAAGAAAGAGTGAATAAGATTTCATTACTTATTATATTTTTAAAAACAAATGAGTCCACGCAATTATTAGGTATATATTACATACTGAAACATACTCGTCACCCAGTAATTACAAGTGATACTTATCATTTTATTATTTTAATTTCCATGTTTTCCTTGAATTCACATCAGCTGTTAATGAATATATTGCAGAGAAGATATGAACAATTTATATTTCTTTGGTCAATGAAAACACAATGGTTGTTGGTTTTAAATACCTGTCGTAACAAGTCCATAGGTCCATCAGTCCATAAGTCCCTCAGTCTATACGTCCATCAGTCTGCACACTAGAGTTCCATTTGTTCAGAACCCCAGAAGTCTATCGGTCACATCGTTAACACGATCGCGGTTTAATGAATTCCCGGAATTTGTGATCTTTTTCAATGAATTTGCAGACTTTGTATGAAATAAAACTTAAGTACATTTGCTTCTTTAACATCTATTTAGTGACTTTGAACAAGTTCAAATATTAGGGGAAAATCTGAGTTCTGTGTTACATTATGATGTACAATGTAAGCATGTATGGGTATACTTTCTAGGATAAAATTATCCAATTTAAAAGTTAACTAGGAATAGTCTGAAAAGTAATCAGAAAAGGGACCGAAAGGCACAGCCAACAGTTATCAGCTGAAAATGAAAGTTTTTAACATAAAAAATGTAATTGTAACATCCCCAGGGCATAAAAAAATGACCCATTTCATAACAAACTTGGTGGAAACTTCCCTTTTGCTTTTTAGGATTCATAGACATCTTAACTCATGAACATCACACACAAACTCTCTCTCTCTCTCTCTCTCAAAATGTCATTTCACGACGTTTTTCTCAATTCGATAAAAAAAAAGAAATCTGCATTTTCTGTAGAAAAAAAGAAACAAATCATAGAAATAAAATTCATTGATTTTCTATTAAAAATGTACTTATTCACGTGCATATGATTGATTGTATATTGTTTTACTTCCCGTTCAAGAATTTTTCACTCATATAGAGACGTCACCATATACCGATGAAGGGCTATAAATTTAGACCTTTACTCGACACTCAGGGCCATTGTGCAGGGAGGATTCTTTATCGTACAAACGCCTACCGTGACACGGGGTCTCGGTTTTTAAGGTCTTATCCGAAGACCCGCAACTTTCACTCAAATGTACCGAGCGCTTGGCAAAAAAAAAAAAAAAAAAAAAAAAAAAAAAAAACGAGAAAAAAAACAGTTGCTACCTATTTCTTCCATTAAATCAGTCGCTGCAGTGATTCGAACTTACAACCTTCCGATCACGGAGCTACCGTGACGGTTTTCACGTACATAAACTTTTGGTATAAATTGGGCTGTAATCGCATAGTTGTGAGTCATAGCATACATGTATGTCATTGTTGTATGACTGCTATCATATATATGTATCTTTGTTTATAATTTTATTGCTTATAGCGAAAGCAAAATTTGTTTTAAGAATCCACATAGACGTCGCGGGTTCGTATCCCACTACGGAACGTTGAGACCGCTCCTTCAGATGAGACCGAATAAGCGTAAGATATATTGTTGATAAGAATAAAATGAAAGTTTTGATTTGAAATTAAAGGAAGCAAATAAATATATTTAAAATGTTGATTTAAAAGTAGACTCCGTTTTCTTTTTAAATTAATTTTTAATCAATTTACAAAAATGTATGAAAAATATTTACAAATAAATTACAGATGCTATTTTTTCAATTCATCTGTATACATAACCTGTGTAGAAGGAAACATAACTCGTTAGCGGGATAAAGCAGTTTTAACATAATACAAAAATGAAAACAAGATTGATTTCTCAAGTTTCAGCCTTTTTATCGTTACAAAATCTGCCTGGTGGACAGTATAGAAAAAATATAGGTCAAATGAACTATTTACCTGAATATATACAAACATTGGCCCGGCCGTTTTACTAAAGACCTTACGACTAAGACCAAAATGTTATTTTGCAAATAACTCTGTTTTTTTTTTTAATGAATTTGGAAATCTTTTTCATCTTTTTAAAGAGAATTTTGGAAGATTTATTAATACATACAATTTTAAACAGAATTATTTATTTTGCAATATATAACAAGTTACTTAAGTTTCTGGTCTTAGTCGTACGTTCTTTGGAAAAAGTGCTCCTCATTCTTAAACTCTAATTCCTTATGAATCATACATGACATTCACGGTATATGCTTTTTATACCCATTTCATATACTTCTTGACGCGAATTCTAGATACGTTTCATTTTCACTCGGCAAATATTTGATCAACATTTATGATGTCATGAGTTATTATTTAACACGCCCTCCTTGTCGAATAGTTTGTTAATTATACAATCAAAAAATAATAAGATTTAATTTATACTATGTTTTGCGTGTTCCTTTCATTTCTAGGACTTGATATAAGTCTTAGATATAAATATTAAGAAATAGTTCACGGTTTCATATACATTTTAGCATACTCTGACGTCATACTGTATAGGCAAGCTCTAACACACCGCGTAGCCTGGGCCCTCAATGTTGGACCAAATTTGACATAGGAATATAGAGGGAAGAAAATTTAAAAACGAAAATATAAGCATCTTCACGTAGTGTTTAAATCATGGCCTTTGAGGTAGGGAGAGGAGGTATATCGTGCAACTTTGATGAGCATAGGAATAAGTGGGACAAAAATCTTCATTATCTCATCAAAACACTACGGCGAGAATAAGCTATATTAATATGCTTCCACCATCGTGTATAATGAATTCTTAAATGTTCAAAACATGGCCCCTGTGCTTAGGATGAAGCCGCAAGAGAATTCAAAGATTTATAGAGATGAATATAGATTTAAAAATTATAAAGGTCTTTCTTAAGAAAAACAAGTCTACAATTTATCTTTGCGAACGTTTAATTTTAAATTTCTCTAGATTTTGCCCGCCCCCTCCCCCTTCTCCCTGAGCAGGGCGTGCTAACAATTAAACAATTATTCATAAGCAGGATAGTTTTTACTCATATTAGTCATTCTAAATAACAAACATTCCTCTGTCGTGTCTTCTTATTTCTTGATAATTAACACTAGATCACACTACTTAACAAGCATTACATGTGATGTAAACAGTTTTGTTAAAGCATGAACATTAGGCTAGGATAGGGCTAATTTTAAAAGGAAAGATATAATGAAAACTTGTTAAAGATTCTGGTATAGAACAAAATTGCCAAATAAGTCAAATAGCTAAGCATTAATTGACAAAAATTATTTCTCGATAAAGGTCCTCAAAGCGTAAAAATAAGTTCTTTAGCTGTTTCCTCTTGTGTAACATTTGAAAGTGTTTTGATGATTATAGTGTTCTAGATCAGTGCAATTGAAAAGATATGTAAGATTACATTTCCGAAGCTTGATGGTATGACCCAGACAGAAATGTAATTGAGGGATTTGAGATTGACATGATTTACTGTTTGTTTTCTTCACATGTTTGATTTTTTCAAAAATCTGAAATCGTTTTCGTGAAAAAAAATTATTTTTATTCTCTGAAATTATGAAACTAAAGAAAGATGTCTTTCGTCTTGTGATATATGTTCTGCTATTTATCTGTGGGATAACTATACTTCTAAGAGTGGGAACACAGAGGATGAAAAATCATTCTTATTCAAATGCTTCTGCATGGATATTAAAAATCACAGAACAAACCAAACGATTGAAAAGTACAGGACAAAAAATAGGAGTATCTCAAATAGCTAATGATCAATGGAAATTGTGTTCTTATTCTTCGTTCACATCAGAGATAAGTATGAATCTCTCTCTCTCTCTCTCTCTCTCTCTCTCTCTCTCTCTCTCTCGCACGCGCGTGGGCTGTTATTTTAGCATAAACCCCACTGCCTCCCTTCTTTGATAATTTTGTTCTTGTATACAATGAGTTCCCACGAAAGCCTATAACTAAAACAAACAAACAAAATAAAAATGCCTTTTTGTGAGAGGAAATCACTCTCAAAGGAACGTTGCTATAATAATTATAATTGTAAAGTTAAAATATAACAACATCATTTGGCTTTGAAACATAAAAAAAACTTTTTTCTAAAACCACTCGCATTTATTTCCAGAGGGCAACAGAACAGCCGATATGAGACCTTGTGTCATGGCGGAATGTCCCACAGAGAGTTCTCATGTGGAACATAACATTACAGAATTCTGTAATATGATGTATTGCAACAAAACAAAGTGTAAGCCAGTCAAATGTCCAAAAACAACTAACTCACCGAACACAACCAGTATTACAACGGAGGATGCACCATCTCATCATAATGATGGTCAGAAATGCACCTCTTTATCGCTTTTTTCTGCGAGAGAAATGGGAATAGTTGGAGGACATTGGATACCGACAGAATGTAGATCTACACGTCGCGTTGCTATCATCATACCTTTTAGAGATAGAGAGGAACATCTTTGCATTCTTCTTAAGAATCTTATCCCTATTCTGATGGTTCAACAAACAGAATTTAGAATTTTTGTAATTGAACAGGTTCAAGTGATTTTCTCTCCCTTATTCTAGAAAGCATTTTTACTCAATCTATTTGTACAGAAGTAAAAACAAGTATTTAAAAGAATTTGAATTAAAAAATTTTTTTTAAAATTTCAATTAAAGCAAGATTATTTTTTAGATTGGAAATACAGCATTTAATAAAGGAAGGGTTATGAATGCAGGTTTTCTTGAGGCAGTGAAAATATTTGAATTTGATTGTGTTTTTTTCCATGATGTCGACCTTATTCCAGAAAATGATAGGATTCTTTATGAATGTGGGGAACAACCACGCCATCTGTCGGTGGCTATCGATGAACATGGCTACAAGTAAGATTTTTTCCCAAATAACTCTCTTCACTTTTTAATTTAAAAATATTTTATACCTCTGTGATTATTCCCAACAATAAATCACGATTTATGATACAGGTTGAAGTATAGCTACCTAGTAGGTGGCGTGTTAGGATTTCGACCACAGACTTTTCGTAAAGTTAACGGATATTCCAACATGTTTTGGGGCTGGGGAGGAGAAGACGACGATATATATTTCAGGTAAAAGGCGCCTTTTATATCTAACAGAATGTTCCTAGATAAATGTGATGATTCATGTCGAAAAGGACAAAATTGGGCTTTGAAATAAGTCGAAGGTATTTAGATAAATTCATTTTTCAAATTTATGCTTCGATAATATACCTTTAATAATTATTGCTTCGCTTTCATAAACAGGAAAATATGTATAGTCTATTTCTTTTCAAATGCACCTTTTTTGTCAACAATCCACCACTAATGATCAATATCAAAGTGTTCCGATTCCGTGTTTTTTTTTTTTTTTTTTTTTTTTTTTTTTTTTTTTAGAATGACTCATTTAAAATTCCGTGTAATACGACCTCCAGCATCTGTCGCTAGATACACAATGGTTCGTCACAAGAAGCGGGAAATATGGCCTAAAAGGTTAGTAAAAATTTTTGATATACATGGTTTTACTATGCTTAAACATTTCATAAAGGTATGACAAGTGTCCTTATACTTTGTCAGATTTTTCACACCTGAGCTTTTATAACTTGTACCTGATGACTTTGTAACTTTTTCTGGCATACACGTTTCATCTCCTTGCAACTCCTGAAAAAATCAACTTTTCGTGCTACAAAGCGTGCTATGATAAATTTGACTCACTTTTTCGAGGTAGAAAAATAACGAATTTTTCCTCTAGATATTATTTTTAAAAATAATATTTTAAAAATTTCAAAATTCTTCTCAAGAGCCAGAAAATAAATGCTTTTTAGCTCACTTGAGCCAAATGCTCAAGTGAGCTTTTTATTGATCAGTGACCGGCGTCCGTCTGTCGTCTGTAAACATTTCACATTTATCAAGAACCACTAAGCCAATGTCAACCAAATGTGCCACAAATCTTCCTTGGCTGAAGGGGATTTAAATTGTTCACATGAAGTGCCACGCCCTCTTTCAAATGGAGATAATTAAGAATTGTTGAAAATTTCGCGGCATCTTTTATAAATCTTCTGAAGAAGAAGAACTGGGCAAAAATAAATGAAACTTATGTAAAAGCTTCATTGCATACTCTAGATTCAAGTTTGTTCATATCATAACACACGGGGGCAGGGCGGGGCCACAAGAGGGGGCCAACATTTTACATAGGAATATATAGGAAATTTCTTTAAAAATCTTCTCAAGAACAGCTAAGTCATTACTAGTTAATATAGAAGAATCCTCAGGTAGTGTACATTCAAATTTGTTCAAATCATGATCCCCAAGGGTAGGGCGGAGCCACAACAGTGGATCAACGTTTTACATAGGAATATCGAGTAAATATCTTTAAAAATCTTCTCAAGAGCAAGAACAACTTAGCCTTTATTAGTTATATTTATACAGAAGCAACCTTAGGTATTTTAGAATCAAGTTTGTTCAAATTATGACCCCTAGGATTGAGGAGGGGCACAATAGAGGGTCAAAGTTTTACACAAGAATATATAGGAACCATCTTAAAAATATCTCCTGCTCATGAAGAGCAAAACCATGATTAGTCATATTATTATAGAAGCATCCTCAGGTAGTGTAGATTCAAATTTGTTGGATGGGTAAGGTGGGGCCACAATGAGTGATCAGAGTGTTATATTGGAATACATAGGGAAAAATCCTTTAAATTCTTCTGCTCAAGAACAGCAAAACCATGGTTAGTAATATTGATATGGAAGCATCCTGAGGTTGTGTAAATTCAAGGTTGTCCCTCGTAAAATTTTCAACAATGAACTAATTTCTGCCTTTTTCTAGCCAATGTGCTCAGGTGAGCGATGTGGCCCATGGGACCCTTGTTTAATTTGTTGCGTATTATCACATCTGCACAAATCATACTCCAGAGTCTTAATTGGGTAGGCAAAGGGTTCACTTCATCTGACTATAATGAAAGCTTTCCTTTTTAGTGTAGAATCAGGTGGGTTTTTTTTTCAAAACATGACTTCTTGGTTTGGGTTTTTAAACGTTGCCATAATAAAGTGAGACAAATTTAAATAAATAAAAAATATTTAGTGATTTACAAGCAGGGTTGTAAGGTCTTAATTTGTTATTCAAAGAAAATTCAAGTTTATCTCTACATTCCTTCGGGTAGCTGCAGTTGGGTATATGAAAGGAATAATTGATGCAAATTCTCCAAAAAATATTACACACAAGTACTCTGAAGTTGACATTAAAAAGATGCTTGAGTTTTCTGATTGACAATATCTATGTGGTTTTTGGAGACCAGGTCTTCCAACAATCTATTGGAATTCCCATGGGTACCAATTGCGCCCGTTATTAGCAGACCTTTTTTTGTATTCATATGAAGCAGAATTTGTCCAAAATCTTGTACGTGAAAAGAAGAAAACACTTGCTGTGGCCTTCAACTCGACATTTAGATATATCGACGATGTATTGTCAATTAACAATTGCTATTTTCATTCTTATGTCGATATGATATATCCTGGTGAACTTGAGATAAAAGATACCACAGAATCTGACATCTGTTTCATATTTGGACATTTTACTTGAAAAAGACGTAAATGGTAATCTAACAACCAAGCTTTATGATAAACGTGATTACTTTAACTTTTCAATCGTCAACTTCCCTTACTTATGCAGCAATATACCTTCATCACCTGCATACGGGGTATATATCTCTCAGTTGATTCGATACGCAAGAGCATGCTCTACGTATGAACAATTTCTAAAACGAGGTAAATTATTGACAAACAAGTTGATGAAACAAGAATATCAGCTGTCTCGTTTAAAGTCATCATTTCGTAAGTTCTATGGTCGATACAATGACCTTGTCAGCAAATACAATTTATCATTGAGTCATATGCTGACTGACGTTTTTCATACTAATTCTTAGGCCATTATTTACACACTGAATTGTCGACGGATTTTTCCGTTATTTCCCGATCATGACAAGGAGCACACGGCGGGTGTGACCGGTCGGCAGGGGATGCTCACTCCTCCATGGCACCTGATCCCACCTCTGATGTTTCGAGGTCCGTGTTTGCTCTGCTCCTATTTTGTATTGTTTAATGGACTTTTGAGCTTGAATACTGTTCGTTATCTCCATATATTTCATTCTACATAAAAGAAGGAATTATAAAAAGCAATACTCATTAGGGCGCTTGCTGATAGGAAAAAATATGTACGGATACACATAAATAGATTATTTTTGTGAAAATGCTTTTTTTTCTTTATAAATCAGGTGTACTTCTAGAAAGTATCTCATTTAAAATTAATGAGATAGAGAGAGAGAGAGCAATGTGATTGAGATAAGCTTCGTTTTTCTTTTATTTTATAGAATGCAAGTACTGAATACGTGGAAAACCAGGATGAAGACTGATGGACTAAGCAATGTTCCTTACAAACTTATATCTGTTCAAATTTACACATACTATACTAAAATTAGAGTGGATGTTGGAAAAGAAGACGATATTAAGAAGAAAGCTGATGTTACTTTCCCAAAACATGGTCCCTCTGTACATGCATAGGAACATAGAACTTGTTACTTGAATTAACCATATTGCATAATGTATGAGTTTTACGGTTGTTAAAAGAATATAAGATATTGATCGAAAAGTTATTATATCAAATCCTTTGCTGATCAGAAAAAAATCAACAACAAGAGTGGATGGAATGCATTACATAAGACATTTAAAGCGTAGAGTGATCAAAGATTATTATATTCTTATGTTTTACAATGAAATATATGGAGATAACGAACAGTATTCAAGCTCAAAAGTCCATTAATCAATACAAAATAGGAGCAGAGCAAACACGGACCTCCAAACACCAGAGGTGGGATCAGGTGCCATGGAGGAGTGAGCATCCCCTGCCGACCGGTCACACCCGCCGTGTGCTCCTTGTCATGATCGGGAAATAACGGAAAAATCCATCGACAATTCAGTGTGTAAATAATGGCCTAAGAATTAGTATGAAAAACGTCAGTCAGCATATGACTCAATGATAAATCGTATTTGCTGACAAGGTCATTGTATCGACCATAGAACTTACGAAATGATGACTTTAAACGAGATAGCTGATATTCTTGTTTCATCAACTTATTTGTCAATAATTTACCTCGTTTTAGAAATTGAACATACGTAGAGCATGCTCTTGCGTATCGAATCAACTGAGAGATATATACCCCGTATGCAGGTGATGAAGGTATATTGCTGCATAAGTAAGGGAAGTTGACGATTGAAAAGTTAAAGTCATCACGTTTATCATAAAGCTTGGTTGTTAGATTACCATTTACGTTTTTTTCAAGTAAAATATCCAAATATGAAACAGATGTGTCAGACTCTGTGGTATCTTTTATCTCAAGTTCACCAGGATATATCATATCGACATAAGAATGGAAATAGCAATTGTTAATTGACAATACGTCGTCGATATATCTAAATGTCGAGTTGAAGGCCACAGCAAATGTTTTCTTCTTTTCACGTACAAGATTTTGGACAAATTCTGCTTCATATGAATACAAAAAAGGTCTGCTAATAACGGGGCGCAATTGGTACCCATGGGAATTCCAATAGATTGTTGGAAGACCTGGTCTCCAAAAACCACATAGATATGGTCAATCAGAAACTCAAGCATCTTTTAAATGTCAACTTCAGAGTACTTGTGTACAATCAGAATGTTTTTTAACAAAATAATTTTGCAAATGACCCATGACAAGGTAAGTACAGTTAAAACTGCCATAACGACCCACTGTATTAAGCGACTCACTGTCATATGTGACTGTAAGAATTCCTCCCAACGCTTTTCCCTTTATATTATACCTGTATTAAACGACCACCTGTCTAACGCGACCAGCAACCGTGATTTTCCTGACCATTTTTTGTAATTTCAGGCAATTTTACCTGGATTTAACGACTATATAATATCCGATTCCTACTTTCGATTTCGGTCGAGCATGCTACGTTTTTTTTTTTTTTTTTTTTTTGGTTCAAAACATCTACAGACACGCGTTTATTTCATCTAATAATTATATAATGCGAGTTTTAGGAATAAAACAACATTTCAAAATAAATATTTTTACTTACGTTTTGATATTTATTGAATAAACATTAAAATCTAATACATAAACATTCAGGGGTTTTCTCTCCAATGATCGAGTGCCATTTTGAAAATAGACGTTCGAGGTCGATCCCGATATCATTTCTTGCTATAAGGGCCAAATGGATATTCAGCTATAAAACCTGCCTGTTTAACTTTTAATTAACAAGAAACTAAATCCTAGATGTATATTTAAGTGAATTGTGTGACCAACGGGGTAAGTAAACACACGCTAGCTAGCACCCATAACAGGTGATAATTGAAGTGATTGAAGTAGGTGACAAACAGGCAATTAGACGCGGTAGTTCAGTAATGAAAAAAAAATAATTAGGTTAAATAAATTTTTAGTCATAAATATAACTTAATTTGTTACCAAGTGCATAACAAAAATCATGATACAGTTTTAATTCTTAGTAATTTGCAAAACATACGAAGCTACCATGTAAAAAAAAAAAAAACAAAACAAAAAAAAATATTAGAAAAAATCTATGCAGCTTTTTTATACTGTATAAAAACCATTTAGTATTTTCAGATGTTCACAATATTTCCCAATAATCAAATTACTCATGTACAGATCAAGCAAAGTTTATTACTGAACAGGACAATTGTACCTATAATATAAAAGCATTTAGAGTTGAGCAGTACCTATAAAATACATTCTACATACACGTGTAAAATTTTCAGCATTGTATATTTGAACACTGCTGAAAATAGTCAACCTGTATTAAGAGAACACCTGTCATATGTGACCTTTTTTTCCTTTCTCCATTGGAAGGTCTCTTAATATAGGTTTGACTGTATATTTACGAGTTCCATTTTTATTGAAAAAGCAGCTGTCAATGATATCAAAAAGCCTGGACTTTAATTTATCGTGGGGAATGGTTGTGTACAAAGTTGAAAAGTCGTAAGTTTTTAAGCTGTTGATTTTGGTAAAATCTTGTGATTTCAAATTTTCCAAAAGTTCCTTGGAATTTTTAAGTATCCACATCTGATTTACACCACTTCTTGAATATATTGTTGCACAGTACTCTTGAAGTTTCTCCTTCACCACTGTTAATATCTTAGTGAGGAGTAAAGATAGAGGCTTGGTTGAACATTTACTGGAACCCGCTATGTATCTTTGTTTGTAAGGATTTTTATGAAGTTTCGGAATCCAATATAAATATGGTAATTCAAATTCATTTTGGTTGTTTGGAATATTAAAAATATTCAAAACTGACATATGATTTTGAAGAATTTCTTCCTTAGAAAGGGAACTATGAGTATAAGTTGGATTTCCACTTGTAGAATTAAATCCAAGTTCCTCTAAACTACATTTAATATAATGAGCCTTACAAACAAAGACAATGTTGTTACCTGCTTTGTCAGCAGGGACCAGAACGTACTGATCATGTAATATATCTAATTCTTTTTTCACCTCTGGATTATTGAATACAGAAGGATAGATGGTTTTCATATTGCCTCTCAATCTTTTAATGCGCGATTTTAACATACATCTGATACATTTAATCCATTCTGACAAAGTGTCAAGGTCTTCTTTTTCATGTCTGGTCCATCGCCTGGCGTAGTCCTCTACAGAATCCATAATATTTATGAAATTCCGACGCCAGTTGAAGGATCTGGGTTCCCTAAATTTAGGACCTTTTAAAATTAGTGATCTAAGGTCCTCATTATTAACTATATTTACGTCACCAGTAATAACGTGTCCAGCAGGACTATAGTTATAGGGCGAAGAAGAACATGAACACGATGGAGGATTATGCTTCAGATATTCGATATCCAGGCCCTGTAAAGTTTTCTTGTAATTAAAAAGTTTGGAATCAATAGTCGATGTATATTTGTAGGAAATACAAGGTGGAGTCTTTAACTTGAAATATGGTGGAATACAAGACTGGACCCTTTTGTGATTAAGAATATTACTTATATTAACCGCGTCAATTCCTTTGTTGGCATATTGAAGTTTTTTCCTCGTTTTTATCAAAAAAGGGAAAAGCAGGGAAAATGACTTCTTTATTTCATAGGAAAAAATGAAGACAGCAAAGAAGATTATTTTCTTATATTTATACATGGATTTTCGATTTTAATTCGAGGTAGCCAGAGCAAAGCCAAGGATATTTAAGCTTAAACGATGAAGGATTGCTTATCGCGGTTGTGTACCCATGTTTGTCAAAGGTTCGTGGGACGATGAAAGAAACGAATTATTATTTCATCTATTACCAATCAAAATAAGCTTAAAAAAGAAGGGGATATTTACATTTCTGGCCAAAATGTTCAGGTAAAAATAACTCAGTATAGTATTACTATAAGTAGCGGGGAAAGTTAAGGCCCGCAGGAATAAATATCAGATTAATATAAGATAGGGGATAGGACAAACTTATTGAAATTCTTGACAAAGAAGAAATATTTTTAAAGATGACATCAGACTTTATTGCGAGCAAAAAGTAATAAATAAGTCATCCCCCCTGTACCCATTCCTGGTTTTTAGGAGCCTGTATTTGTATGTAAAAAAAACGAATATTATACTTTTTCCTTTCAATTTTCAATGTAAAGTAGGTGAGACGTTTTCTAAAGTGCATTTCTCCTTTTTTTCTTTAAATTAGGGAATAGGCTGATATTTGAAACAAGTTTGCTGAATACACAAGATATTATATATAGATATATATATAGTCTTGCATGGCCGAATAATACGCTTATGATTCTATGGTTATTAAAAGAGAACAGAATAAATTCTTTTATCTTGTTCTTTTAAGGTAATAAAGGTTCTGTCCATAATAGTTATAGAAAAGTTTTTTTGTGATATAAATATATTGAAATTTTGAGCAAGAAAAATTAAATACGGAGATAAAGAACAGTATTCAAGTTCAAAAGTCCATTCAAGCAATACAAATCAGGATCAGAGCAAACACTGTGGAATCAGTTGCCATGGAGGGGTGACCGCTCACACCCGCCGTGTGCGCCTTGTAATGAGGGGGAAATCCGATAACAGTTCAGGGTGTAAATAATGGCTTAACAATTAGTATAAAACGTCAGTCAGCATCTGACTTAATGATAGATTGTATTTGCTGACAAGGTCATTGTATCGACTTTAGATCTTGAACTTTCGAAATGATTACTTTAAACGAGACTGTTGATATTCTTGTTTCATTTACTTATTTGGCAATAACGTTTTAGAAATTGTTTGTACGTAGAGTTAAGTAAATGAGTACCGGTAATACAGGGTATAGTCCTATTGCTTTTTGTATAGACAAAAGCACCTGGATTTTGGAAAGTTTATACCTGTATGAAATCCGGGAAATGGAGGGGGCTAAGTATCTCATTTTTTATTCATCTTCACGTACCTAAATTAATTCTTTTCTTCCTTTTCAATTATCCGGAATTTACTTTTGGTTTCGGAATTACATTATAATTAGTTATAGTTATCAGTTAGTTGATCAATAGTCAGTTACGGATTTAGAGCTGATGAGGGAATCCGTACACCTACCCCTGGAATTTTCAGAGTCTTAAAC